TCTTGTCCGCCATATTTGTTATTGTTATTGCAACGTAAGCAGTTTAGCGGGTGAGCTCGGGCGAAAAGCAGGTGAGTTCGGAAAAAAGCAGGTGAGCTCGACGACAAGCTCACCTGCTCTAAACCAATCAGAAAGCCGCTTTTAACACAGGTATGGGATAAGACTATTGTTCTCAACTATTATTTGGTTACAGTAACTTCAAAGAGCCTATTGTAGGCATTGTAGAACGGTCTAACACAGTTCACTCCCCCCTGTCAAATACCGGTAAATCAAGAACAGAACCAGTTTTAGAATTACCTGAACAATTCCTGGTACTCACGTATTAAATGCGCGTGTACTGCTGCATTGAGCTCAGTTCCGGCTACACTGAAGAGACGCACATATCGCAGTTATCTCGGTTCGTGTTAGTGGTGATCTGGAAAACGTGGAAAGTTATATCAGGAATAACGTGTAGAAAGTTGCCAATTACCTCTAGGTAAGCGATACGTTTTACTTGAGATTGTTTAGAAAGTTGAACCAGCATTTGCGTTTATACAAAAGGTTAGGTACACCTATAGTCTTGTAAGTTAAACTGCATCGAAGAACGAGAACGAATGAATATGCAAGTATGTAAATTTTTCATTGAAATCGCGAAAGCTGATTGGTTTGCATATTTAAACACGTACGAACAGACCAAAGTGAACGAACGAGTGAACGAATGACAAGCTGGGATGAGCCGAACTATGGGAGATACGTTACAACCCATACGAGGCAACCTACGGCTACGGGCACGTCTTGTTACACTTTGTCAAGTTTAAACTCAAATATCTTGCGAGTTTTTCTGTCACCATTTATAGGCTAACCTCTATGACATTCGTAGTACTGCATATCACCATTATTACTATATTAGTCGTTGGTCGTCTATGACTATGGTCATGCATAAACAGCTACAAATTATACATGCTTAACAATGTTTCCCACTAATTCGAATGAATTGAATTGATTCCTATGTACGTGCCAAATATTCATACATTCTGCTGCCTTTGGTCATTTCAGTGTGCTAAACAACTATTGGACATATCATAAATTAAAATGTCATCTCAGTCTACGTATCGTATCGTATCGTATCGTAACGAACAGGAGAAATATTAAAATGTTTGCACCAGCGCTTTTATTGTTTGGAACTCTCTTAAGGATAGAGCCGAACAAATAACCTACGCCAGCTGAAACAAAACACACAATGACAATGTGGACTGTCTAAACTGTATAAAAGCCGAAATCATGCGCATATACGGAACTTGCACTGATTTAGTTATTTTCATACTCATGGAAATTGCTTCATAAGAATAGAAATATTTTTGAATATATATATTTGAAATATTTTTTAGGCTGGGGTCTTTTGAAAGTAAAGAAATGCTGGTCACGCAATTCTCCAGTTAGGCTGTGCATTGCAGGCCATACAGTTAGCATGCAACGTTCACATTGTTTTGATTTATTTCACATTCAAACGAACTATTTTTCGCTAACTGAAAACTAATAGAAAGCGTTGAGTTGAACGAATGTAAACGGTATACAGTCGTGAGTCGTTCAGTTAATGAGGCCATTCGTTCGTTCTCATTCTACGGTGCATGTTAACTATTGCACAACCTTAGCATTCCATGATTCCAAACAAATGTCGGGCCATGTCGTGTCAGTTCAGTATATCAAAGCTGATACTACAACGAAATATAGAATAGGTCATTAGACGAAGAATGATTTCCAAAAATTAGATGATGAAAATGGATTTTCATCAGTTGGTTTAAGTATGTGGTGCCTATGTCATATGTTCTGTGAGAGGTCGACTCAGTTGAGTTTAGTCAATAGCTAAAATTGCATTACGGCAAACGGTTAAATATCCAGTAATATTTAGTGTAGTTCCTGGTAATTTTCCTGGTCCTGCGGTCTTTATATTGGTGATCATGCAAGCGGAACGGGTACTCGGAATTGTTACGGGAAGCGTTGTTATGTTTAGTAATTTGTACGATATCCTTATGGTAACTCTTGATTACCGCAAACAAACTTAACATTGTTTCACAGTGGACCCGATACCACAGTCTATTGCGAGACAACAGAAAAAGTATGATTTACTATGAATGTATAGCGGTATGGTTCACATATACCTGCGTATGTCGGCGGGCTATTGTCTTTAGCAGTTCAACAAAATAATTCACAAAAAAATGTATGCATCAAAAGCTGTAAACAATGCTAGTAAAGGCATACCGCAGGCATATGTGAACCAGGCTTATGATCAGTAAAATATGTAGACGTCATAACATACTACTAAAGAAAATGACGCTGCCTATATCTTTATCTGCAGCATGTAAGTTGTGTTGCTAGATTCTGTGCAAATATTCTTGTATTTGTTTCATGTTCGTATATAATCATGAAATTAGATCTGCCGCAAGCTGTGACCCTTTGCCCTGGTTCCTGGAATTTTCTATCAAAAAGTAGTATTACATTTTAAAAACAGATTAATTTAATAACCATTGGGTTACGGATCGTATTATCGTATTCACTCAGCTTCTTCGAGTTTTAGTTTCACTTAAAAGTCGCTTCTCTCTCAAATAATTAAGTCGAGGGCCAGCTAGCGCTGGGCGTTTGTATCTGCAGGTAGACTAAAAGTTACAATTTTTAGACACATATAGATAAATCCGATCTGTGAAAGTTTCGTACAAGTTCGACTCTGTAAACAAAAGCAGCTCGATCGTCTTGGCGAATCATCAATCTGTTTGCACAATACACCGAACCGGGGAAGTACTTAGCCTTGACTGAAGACTTTCGTTTTCAATATTGGCTTTAGTGCAATTTATCTTGTTACAGGCGACGCATTTACGGAATCATACAGTTATATTAGATAATATAAAAGACCTTTATATGATCACGTCATCGGTAACAAGATAAAGACTCTAGAGCCGATATATCAATCCCGAAAACGAGACTCTATAGTCAAGTCTATACTCATCTGTCTTTCATATAAGTCGGGACAGTCATAGGCTCGGTCCCAGCCATTCCATCTTGGGGGCTCTCTTGGAGGGAACGGCTGGGCAGTGCGTTCCGTGTCTGATCACGTGTTATTACTAATTCCAATATGCGATATTTCTGCATCAATTATAGAATGTTTATGGATGAGTAATAAAACAAGTCATTATTAAATTAGCCAGAAATGCTTGGCAGGTTGGAATAAGAACGCGATGAATTGACTGATGTAAATTAGCATCTGTTCGTGCTTGTTTTGTTTGTTCTACTGAAGTTGAAAATGTAAAACGTCGCACGAAAATCGCAGGGAGAACGCGGGAATTGCTGGAAAATGCTTGTGATATTTTGTGTATTGCTAAAGAAACAGTGCCATGCGATAAATATTTGTGCTGTTCATGCCTGAAACAAGTTAACAAGTGCACCAAACTATAACAAGAAATTGAAAATTGTAAAAATTATCTCAGGAAAGTTTACTTAAGCGAGAATGAGAGATTTAAACCGTGTTTACCCACCGACGTAGGAACATCTCCACATGCATACAGCACCCTCAAAGAAATCGGCTAGGCCTTCAACTATCGGCAACGTTAAACCCAAAAAACTTATTTTTAAAGCGAACGAACTTCCAAATGAGCAAACTCTGCATCGAGAACTCAGAAGTCCAATGCAAAATTGCTACAAACGCTATTAAGGATCTGTCTCGTGTTCCAAATCTATAATACGAGACATGATAATATATAATACGAGAGATAATTGTTATAATTATTTAGCACCACGATTTGCGGTGCTAGTATTTTGATTGGCTGAACGAAACAATACGCACTGCATGCATGCGCCCAGCCGTTCCCTCCAAGAGAGCCCCCAAGCGGGAACGGCTGGGACCGAGCCTAGGACAGTCACGGTCAAGGCCGTTTTTCACTCCAACCGTATCGAAGCGTACGTCGTTTCCTGAGCACTAGAGTGGAACTATGACTTCGACACAAAAAAAAATGCCACGTTACAGTTGAAGTGGAAAACGGTCTTTAATTAATTTGGGCGGCAAGGAAAAGAAAAATACCAACCTCTGATATATCAGTGAAACACATGTCATTCTGTTTCAAGCGACTAAAGATGTTTCTTCGTTGGTTTTGCACTATGGCCATTATTCTTGTTGGTCTTCAATACAGCTATGGTCAAAACGAGACAGTTTATATTTGTGGAGGTGTCGACGATACGGATGGTAGAACTGTCTGTGAATGTAAGACGAACGTTTGTTATTTCAAACTGAATATTGAACATTACCAGGTAATGTAGTAAAACTGGAACAATAAAATTTAACTCTCCCTGGAACAGTTTAACGAGAATTATTTAAAACTGACCAAGCTATCCAGTGTAAATAGATTTAGTTCAGATTTCTTCTTGTAGGATTGGAACAATACCTTGACTAAACCTGCAGCAACGATAGTCTAAAATTGTCAGTGCTATCCAGCGTAAATAAAGTTAGTTTAGAGGTTTCTCCTGTTGTAACACTGGATCAATAAGAGATGATCCTTACTAGACCTCTAAAGAGAACAGTTTATAAACGATAAAGCTATCCAGTATAAATAAAGCTAGTTTAGTTTAGATTTCTTCCTGTAGTAACAATGGATTTGTAACGGATGGCCTTTACTAGACCTTTATAGAGAATAGTTTAGAACTAATAGAGCTATCCAATTGATCTGTTTAACCTAAATTTGACATTTTTATCTTGGAAGACATTCACAGCTTACTCCAAAGACGCGCCAATAGGCACTCGAGGAAGAGTATTCTTCATAAATGATACTGGAGTACTGGAACCCACCATGGAGAACCGCCAGACTTCGCCTTGTAACAACGTATCCACCTGTACGCAGGCTAACACCGTAGATGGGAAAAGCTATCGATCGTTTATCAGCGTGAATAAGAGAATACCTGGACCTACTTTAATAGTGCCCGAAGGTGCGACAGTGGTTGTTGATGTCACAAACTATATGTTCACAGAAGAGACCTCGGTCCACTGGCATGGTATGCACCAGAGAAACACACCCTGGATGGATGGCGTGGGGTACATTACACAATGTCCAATAGAGGCTGGTTCAAGTTTCCGCTATATTTTTGAAGCAACACCCTCCGGGACGTTCTGGTATCACTCTCATAGTGGCCCACAGAGAACTGATGGATTGTTTGGTGCACTCATAGTTAAAGAGAACGCCAGGACTGCATCCTGGATTGCATCCCGGTTTGCATACTGGTATTTGGATGGTGTTATGTTTGAAGATCTACCAGAACAACACACTCTTTCATTACTGGACTGGCAAAGAGAGTCGTCTTTAGATCTGTTTGTTCAGATTCATTCCTCATTGGGTTACTTCGAGGACACAGCCGTCGATGAAATACCAAGACGAAGATTAACAAGGTTGAAGGGTTTTGTAGATGAAAATTTCGATTGTCAATTTTTATTAGATAGACCTAACCAGGAACAGTTGAAATATTATTATATTTATATGCAACTATAAGTGCTCTGTCAGAAATCAATACTGCGGCCCTGCGATCCCGGTGAAGCGCTCAAACCACTGAGATACAGAGGCCAACTGCCGAGTTGTAACAGTGAACTCTAATAAGACAGGAACGATAACTCAGGTAAACATGCCCATACTTGCCTGAAGCCAACCGTGCAAGGAAATTGCACTTTTAAAAGGACTAAGGAGAGTTTCGAGGAGTGGGTCAGTGGGATGTGGGAAATTCAGTCAAAGTTTTATATTTTCGACGAAAATGAGCAAGAAAAGTCGTTTTTCATCAAAAGACTTCAATTTTAAAAACCCAAATACGATTTATTTGATAGTTAGAACTGCTTTGAATCTCACAACAGCAAAAGTTTGAAGGGTATCAGGTTTGTTTTCATAAAAACGACACTAGTTGAATGTGCCGAAGTAAACTTTGCTCTTCAACTAAAAAAAAATACTTTGAAACATAAATCTACGGACCAATACCTTTTTTGTATTAACGTCTAGGTATAGTTGTTTATTTTGAGTGCTTTTTGACTTCTCTAATACGTGAATAAATCGATTTTTCCGTAGAAATCCCCCGTGATTTGCGATTTGTGATTTGGCGCCCTGGAAAAGTTCGCGCGCTGTGACTTTCAAAAAAGAACTAGAGAGAACTTTCCTCGTAATTTTGTTTTTTAGCAAAAATACGCCGAAAAACTAGGTTTTTCGTCCGAAGATTTCAATTTCAAAGATTCAAACTTGGTTTTCTGGATAGTTCTAAATATTCAACATCCACTAACAGCAAAATCTGGAAGGGAACCATTTTTGTATATTTAAGAAAATAACAAAATATTTTCCGTGCGGAACAAAATACGACTCTCAGGTACACAAAAAATAACGTTAAGTCTTTTCTACGGCTTCCAAACATGATTTGTGCAATAGTCCAAGTATCGTAGATGTTTTTAAGTTTTTTTTTATCTATGCTCTAGCATAGCTAGAAAGGCAGAAATCCGAGTTTTTCAAAGAGGTGTATTTTCGCCGCCGTACCTCCAATGGCGGCCTTCAATTTGGCTTCAAAGATGGCGGCCGAGTCATTGTTCCAGTCTTATTCGAGTTCACTGAGTTGTAATCACATGTTCACCAAAATCACAAGGCCCTGCGTCTAGTGCAGGTTAGCCTACGTGCAGCCTGACTTTAAAGGAAAAAAAAGTAAATCAGGATGCAAGCAGGCTAGTGTAAGTAGGGTCCAGATTTTAAATAATTTTTAATAATTTACAATTATCTTCCTTTTTAGTTTGCTACTTTCCTATGACGCAAAAGTTCAAAACTAGCTTTTTAATTTAATACACGTTTGGATATTTTTCAGGTATGCATCAACATGCTCACTTGACGGAGCAGAAGTCGGCCCAATCCCCTACTGGTCTGGAGTTATCAACGGTCTTGGCAGACATGCCAATGTGGCTTTGAAGAATTCTAGACTGAGCGCATTTTACGTTCGACGTAATTCGACGTACCGTTTTCGATTAATTGGAGCTCAGGCGAACTATGCATACAAGTTTTATATCGGAGGTCATAAATTGCGTGTCATTGCGACGGACGGGTTTTTTATCAAACCAATTTCTGCAGATTTTCTGATAGTAAACACTGGGGAACGCTATGATTTCTTGCTAGACACGATCGACGCAAACCAGACTTCGGGAACTGATTTTCTCATCAGAGCAGAAACGCTGGAGGTGAACTGTAACAGTTTGAAAGTGGACGAAAAACTAGAAAGGAACGATGCAATTGCTGCACTAACTTACGGGAACTCTGTGAATATGTCTGTCATTGAAGCAGCTTATAGAAATAACTTTTCTAAACCGAATTGCACCAGCCAAAATCCATGTACTGTCGTCAACTGTCCGTTCGAGAATTGGGCGGAGCCAGGCTACCAATGTGTTAATGTTGATCAGTTTCGACTGTTAATACCAACGCCTGAAAAGGACATGCCGAATTTTAATTCAGAATGGCCAGCAAAGGACGCAACGTTCTTCTTTAATTTCGGTTTTGATAGTACGGAAGTCACCAGCACGGTTAACGGACGGAATTTTGTAGTGCCTAGTATTTCATTACAGACAGAACAAGGAGATAAGGATAAGCTGACAGTGTGTTCAGATGTGAGCGTAGCATGCATGAAGGAAGATTGTCAATGTACGCAGATATTGGACCTTGGGGAAAACTTCTACAAAAAACCAATAAGGTGAGAGCTTGTTCAGTTTATTGTTTATTTTATAGTTTATTGAGTTTCTCACACGTTGGTGAGCGGATTTCCCAACAGACTATTGCCCAATTGATAAGGGATCCGAGGTACCTACGATTTTAACGTCATTATCCGAGACGATATATACAGTCTGTTTCTATACAGTCTGTCCTGGAAAGGGCTACTAATAATTGAACAGTACATCAGCTTATTTTTATGTGCAGCTACAGAAAACTTGTTTCATGTAGTAACTAAAAATAACTTCCCCTAATTGAGCCAATGTCTTATACACAAATCAGAAAAAAATATTACACAAGCTTTGTTGACAATGCCTATACATGTTGATTTTCAAATAAAAAATCTAAAACTGTATTAGAAAACTGTTGCTTGCAGGCGTCTTGTTTTGGACGAAATACATCCATATATATATTCGTCTACAAATAAACAAAATACAAGTCATGTTCAACATGATGCAAGCCATTTATATTGTAACCGGCACGTGCTTATATTAAAGTTGTCATAACCTCAATTACATTAAATATACACGCAGAGTAGCAAACTGTTATGTAGTAAACGATTGAACAAAATTGAAATCTGCATAATATTTAAGGTAACACAGATTTTCCTGTAAGGTAACATAGATTTTCCTAATCTAAAATGTACATAATTTTTCCAAATTTAAGTTTTCTTTTGCCAAAGAACATTGTTCAATTGCTATTATCAATCCTGAACAAGTTGCGCGTTTTTAAGCGTGTAGTCTCTATCAACGTAGCGTAGTATGGGCTAGTTTTCTTGAAAAAATAATTTAAAGTGTATTTGTTGGAGTACTTAGAACTTATATAAAATTTAAAAAGATTAAAACTTCCCGTGCGTATGAAAAACGCTTAAAATATTGCTAAACTATTTCTTGATTTGGTTGTTTTAACAGATTCGTCTTTTCATCATTGAGCACAATGAACAACAGTAGATTTTCCCATCCGATTCATCTACATGGACACAGCTTTCACGTGGTAAAAGTTGGCTATGGTCAGTATGATTCTCAAGGTGTGCTCGTAAATGCTTCATCTGATTTGGAATGTAACACACCCTGTACACGGGCACCAAATTGGCGGGCAAATACACCACCTGCGGGCATTCAAGCTGCAGGCTTGACAGTGCGTAAAGATACGGTAATAGTTCCGTCGGGTGGTTATGTCGTAGTGGAGTTTATCGCCGATAACCCCGGGCATTGGTTCCTGCATTGTCATATTGAATCACATCAATTGGAAGGTATGGCAGTGGTAATCAATGAAGTCGAGACCCGCCAGAATCCGCCGCCGAACGGAATGACAAGCTGTAAAAGCTTTACATGGAGTGTGGAGGAGTTTAATAAGAAACGGAACTGGGTCAAAGCCGAACCCACCTTGGTGAAGAGCAGTGCTCGAAGACCAGTTTTGGAAAACCTGTTTTTGCTTGTTGGTTTTCTTATTGCGCAAATGGCATGAGAACTCAAGCCTACAACATTCTTTGACATATACTTCACAAGTTAGCCTGTTAATTTCTTTTCGCACTAGAAAATAGATATAGTTTTAATTTTTATATTATTAATCGTTTCAATTGTGCGCATAAATAGCATTGATATAATAAAGACCAGTGATCTACCAGTGAAAAAGATCAGTGCAACGACAGTCAGAATTATAAATAAGATACAAAAAAGTTAACGACAATTAATAGTAAGAATTGTAACACTTAACGTATGTTTATTCAGCTTTAAAAAATCATACTTCAATGGACCAACCAGATTTCTTTTCAGTGGCCGATTTGCAATATCGATTTACACTACACAACTTTTGCCTAAAACTGTCGCATGAATCTGCTTACAACTTGAGTTGTACTGTGTAAATCAAGCTCACAACTCGCTTACGTTGGCACAGGTAAGTTGTGTGCTCGATTTCCACAGTACAACTCAAGTTGTAACTCTCGACATCTATTGCTAAAGACGGCCAGGAGTTTGCTTTATGATGGGGCGGATGGTTTTACTTTTGAGGCAGTGGGGTTAATTGTTTTGTTAATGTCACGATAGGGCGAGGGGGTAATGACAGAGGGTGACTCCTTTGGACAACAAGTTGTAGCTCATATTGCAACGTATACATATTGCAACTGGGAGCACTCATTCTCTAAAAAATCTTCGTTTGTATTCATCGAGCTCACTCGAGTGCAACTTATCCGGGTTGCATGGGATATGCACGTTCATTAATTGCAGATATATTTCGCCGGATTATGTTCAGTGGCATGCAGTAGATGACGAAAACCATCCTCCGTTAGCACATGCATCTGGTTCGGAATTGCTCCTCGACATAGCTGTCAGAGTACGTAAATTTGATATTTGTTCATTCCTGCTGTTACATTATTCAAATACAGACGGGTGTCCCAAAAAACGAAAACTATTGAAATAACGCATTGATTAATAGAATTTGAATGCATCAAAGCTTGACGTAAGTAAGCATTGACTTCATCCCTTTTTGAAAAACGTGACGTCACGCGTATTGCGAATGTTACCAAAGTTCTCGGCATTTTTGTTGTTTTGCTATATTTTCCACTGTAAAAGGGTGATATTGAAGCATAAACTGGTCTAATTGTTTTAAAAACATGCCAAAGTATTCAAGGTAAATGTTTTTCGTCTTTGTTTTGTAGTTTTTACATTTGTAGAATGGCGTATTTGTAATTTTCTAATCGTATTTTTAATCTGTGCTATTTGTAATTTTCATAAACGATCTACCAGATGTTGTGCCAGAATGTTTTCTAACCGTAAATCCTATACTATTACTTCAAGTGCCGTTATGGAATAGTTCATTTACGGATCACAGTATGTATAGAACAGTTTCACCCAATAGCTTCTTGACATAATCTAGTTTTAAGAACTCTCTTCATCGGACTTAGCTTATTCGTTTTTCAGTACGTAATTCAGTTTTTATGTAGACATGCCATTATTGCCATGTACCTGGCCTCTTGTTCGTGACTGCCCATGCCACAGAAATTAAAATAATGTCAAGGTCTTTAACATGCAGGGTCCGTGCTGGTCTTGAAAAGTTCAATTAAAGGAGTACTTTTCAAGGAGTGTTTGAGATGTTTTCTTTCAAGGAAAATGAAAACACATAGAAAATGGTGGGGAAACCAGGGACCGCGGAGCGTTTTGGGGATTGGTGGGGCTTACGCGAGCGTCGAATGCGCGAGACCGCTTGGGGTGTCCGGAGGATGTTCCCCGGGAAAAGTTTTGAAATTTAGGACTCTGAAATGCATGGCCGCAAATGCTTCTAAATTTAACGGTTATCGGAAAATAGTAGATACTTTTTTGTGTCTAAGTTATTTAATTTTGGCCAAACATTTGTACTGAACACAACAACAATGTCAATGCGATGAAATGAAATGGAGGCGACAGATTTTGTGTATCCAATGCACACTGCATAGAGTGTTACTTTCAAGGGTTAACCGCTATATATCGACATATACTTATACTTACTAGTACTATATATCGACCTATTCTTAACGTTAGATGACGTTCTTGCTTTTTCGTGCCTAGTCCCCGGCCGAGTTATATTGAGGAAACAGTACTGAATCCATGTCAGTCGGTCGGATGCCAAGATTTTTCGGAAATTGTCGTCAGCTCGAGCATTCGACGACTCTTGGTTTTTATTCGATTTTGATTCGATTTTATTTATTTTGTATTGCGCTCCCATGATTCTTCTCAGGATTTAATACAGTTTAATACGAGCTTATTTACATGCAGTATGTTGGATTTTCACGATGCAAAGGAATGATCCTTTGCGACAATATTTTGAATAATTCATGTTAAGGATAGCTTTATTTCTTTCTGGTGATATGCATGAAGGCATTTATATTTAGATTTGCTGTTTAGTGTTCGATATAGAGGTATTGAAACCAATATGATTTCATGAATTTGCAGTTCTAATAGCCCACTGGCACTGATCGTCTTTATGCTGAACGTCTTTATATTTATTCAAGGAGTCAAAATGTACTTTTAGTAAAAAATATATCTCTGAGAGTGAGATTCATATATTCACCTGCTCAGAATTTCTTTCTACAATCTTAATCATTACAAATGAATGGTCATCTTAAGCTGACAAAAATGTCAACAATGCAAATAGATTTTGTCTCCTCATCAGCAGATAATTGTTCAGTTGTTCTGCAATAGGGGTAGCCTTGAAGGTGCCATTAAAACAATAATCGCGTCGTACTCATGCGAGATTTAAGTCCTGAGTGTTCCAAATGTTCTAGAACAGTAAATGGAGCAGCCTGCTAGAGCGGCGTGTTTGGGCTTTGGGAGGAAAGCGGAAGTAATGAGTAGGAGCATGTTTACCTACAGTTTATAGCGTATATAGAAACGTACCAGACTAAACATAAACAAGTCACAAAACTTCTCTATTTCGTGTAGTTTTATCTTAACTTCACACCGCTTGTTTTCAGACTATTTGTTCTTAAAGGTGATCTACAGTCCGATCTGCGCATGTGCACAAATGAGCCCACTTTTTATGATACAAACAGTTTAACTATGTTTTAAGTTCTTGAAAAGCCTAATTGTTGTTTCTTGATCATTTATTATACTCTAGAAGTTTGAAAATATAAATAGTTGTCGAATAAAGCTCAATATTTTGGACACAAAAATGTAAACAAAGGCTTTGTTTACATACGGACTGTAGATCACCTTTAAATGGTATCTTTACAACACTTTCACTTTGGTGATGAGTCTTGTGAGCTATGCCCGCAATGAATGTTTAAGAAAGCTTGCGACGAGAATAGTATATTCGACAAATAATGGTATACAGTAAAACCCATTATTAACCTACACTGAAAACACATAATAATAGTAATAAAATGTTACTTACTGCATAGTTAGTTTTCTTGATATTTCACCAACGATCAGTCAAGCTATTTTGAATTCCATGACGAGTCCAAGCACGAAAACACCTGATACTTTTCATTAAATTAGATTAGTGTTTTCATATGGGTCGTATAACCGTCATCAAAGTAGTCGGTTCGCGATCAAATAACTAAAGAAAAGTCAACATATAAATTAAATTCTATCCTACATAATTAAACTGTCAACTTGGTGTCAGGATAATTTACTTGGTAAAACAGAGTACATGCTCTTGGGTTATTCTAATTTTACTGGTCCCTTTCAAGATATTTGGTTTGCAGGAGGAAGTATCAAACAAGTACACTCAAAATTATCTCTGGGACTAAAAATAGACTCGGGCTTAAAATGGAATCTCCACACATCTGAGCTGGTTCTATCCTTCAACAGCAAACTATATATTAAGCCTACTCAAATCCTTATAGTTTTCACCTAAACAAGCAAAACTTGATTTTTACTTTAAAGTAATAATTCCCTCTATTACATGTGGTATCTTGATATGGGGTTCGGTAGGAATAACAGTATGGGACACTTTAGAAAGGCTCCACGTACGAGCAGCAAGAATTGTTTTGGGATGTGCTTGGGACACTCCGTCAACTGAAGTGAAAAGACTTGCAAACTGGAGAACTCTTAAACTATTTTATGATTTAAAATTGCTATGTTTAGTATTTAACTGCAATGATCAAATTTCTCCCACCGCCCCCAGCTTCAAAAATTATTTGTGAAGAGAAAGAATGTATAACTTCCGAACAATGAACAGTTTAAGAATTCCAAAACCGAAAACTGACTACTTGAAGAAGTCGGTATCATATACAAGGGAGCTGTTTTATGGAACTCTCTCGACTGATAGATAGCTTAACTTAAGATCTACGACGTCGACGCCAGCTAGGACGTCAGGGCTAAGCAGAGGACTGGGACTAGGACGTCATCCTAAATAAATAAACTTCCACTTAACACTCTCCTCCGCAGAGGCTTTGTGTTTTGTTTTGGTTTTGTTTGAAGTTTGCAGGCGGGATAGTCGCGGGCTAGGCAGGCTAGGGGAAAATTATAGGGGATAAATAGGGATGAAAGGGGAGAGGCGGAGCATGGGGGAAGACGGTCGTCACTCCCCGCGCGCCGTTCCCCCTAGCCTGCGTAGCCCGCGACTATCCCACCTGCAAACTTCAAACAAAACCAAAACAAAACAAAACACAAAGCCTCTGCGGAGGAGTGTCACTTAAGATTCACGACGTCGACTATAAATATTTACATTCTTTTGAAAATGAATTTTAAAGAGACAGGTGAATTCATTACCGTTTGCTATGCTCTTGTATCCACGACGGCAAAAGTCTTCTTGTGAGGTTGTCGACGTTTGGTGGACGACGAGCAAATTGAGAGACACATGCACACTTCAAAAACTATTATCAATTTACTTCCGCTTGCCGCCCTAAATATTTGACGTCGTAGATATGGAGCTATCTACTTATTTAGGACGACATCCTAGTCCCAGTCCTCTGCTTAACCCTGACGTCCTAGCTGACGTCGACGTCGTAGACCTTAAAGGTGATGTAAAGTCCGTAATGTAAACAAACG